TGTCACGTTAAATATGTGTGTTTGCTGTTTTACACAGGGTCAACTGGATGCAAGACTGGCATCTGTCAGAGAAATAAGCAGTGGTCAACTTAAAAGTTTAAATTAAACATTAAAATAACCTTTTGTTGTATTTTCCCAAACTGTCACTATATCCTGTCCTGTATACCGTAAACATTAATGCGCACTACTAACTTTGTGTCTTCCACGGAGTATTTGTGCTTTCTCGCCTCACAGGTTTCCATGGATCATGGTTCTATCTGGACCCTGTTCCTGCCTCCTACCGTGGCCACGTTGACACCTGCTGCTGCTATTATTATTATTTTAAATATTAATCACATTACTATTACTAGTATGGTTATCATAAACCAACATTACCCTCTCCTAAAGTCTTTGTGCTTTGTTTCCCCACAGGCTTCTGTGGATGGTGGTTCTATGTGATGGTGGTTCTATCTGATGGTGGTTGCCCCTCCAGTCGTCCTGCTGTGCGCCTGGCTTACTACTCGGAATTATTTGAACAATTTCTGTTGTAGGAATTGAATGTATTATACATTGTTGGTTCTGTACACATGACATCATTGTAGTCTGTTCATCCCGGGAGGCGGATCCTCCTCTCCACGTTCTCACTAAGGTTTCCTTTTTTCCCCATGGAAGGGTTTTCCTTTTCCCGTGCCGATGAGAGTTCTAGTGCTCTAAAGGCATTAGCAAGATTCCAATCAAACCGTCAAAGAACGTTTGCTCCTACTGGTGAGCAGTGCTTGGTTTTAGCTTCACTGTTCCACAAAAACATACTTGAATACGTTTCTGGAAGCATTTAAGAAGGGAAATAGGCAATAGCAGAAAGCAGAAACGTTTCTGTGAACACAAATTACCGTTGCTTGGTTTGTAAGACGTAGAAACAGAAAAAGTGCACAGAAACATAACAAAGATTTCTTTGAGATGTCACAGAGAGAGGATAGGACACACCTTCTATTGTGTCCCTCTGACGACAGTTTGGTTTTGGCTCTGACAAAAGATCAGTTATGCTTTTTGCACAATTGTATCGTTGTATTGTAAAGGTACCACAACTCCATGGTCAGTATTAGATATCGGGTTAGTTTTTTACATTACAATATCCATTATATATGTGGTCATGTATTTCGACATAAAGACTAAATTACTATACTGACTTAAGATATTTAAGTTAGTATTGCTTCTGGGTTGGTGCAAGTCTCTGGCTGTAAGGTGTACCACGTTGTTTCTCAAACCCCTCTTTCACCCCTGCGGTGCCTCTTTGTCTGTGTTGAAGAGGAAAAACATTGGAAGTGATTTTTCCATCAGACATTCTCTCCTTCCACCATCTGTCAGTGCCAGACTCTCAGAAAGCTTTAGCTTTACTTTTGCACTGACTAAATAGCGCTCTCTCAGTAGTTGGGCAAGCGGATGAGCCCGACAGGAGGGGATCCGGGGGGGTCGGGTTGGCAAGTTGTTTGTCTGGCGGTGCGGGCGCCATGTGGATGTCATACACGGCGGTATTTCCCCTAAGTTTACAGATTTGGATAAAAAATTTTAACGCAGTCACAAAAAACAAACCACCGCATGCTGCAGCCAGTTTGTTTGTTTTACTTCCAATGCACAAAGTAACTGAGACGCGACATACAGCGGAGACCTGTGCAGAGAAATTACTCCACGTGTCAAACAGAAGGGGGCTGAGTGGCAAACGGACCACTTAAAGCACTGAGGCTAAGCTAGCTGCTAGGCTACTACCATCTCAACATCTGCCCTGCGTAGCACATTCTGCAGAGGACCACCACTAAAAATACATTTAAACAACAGTGTCTAAAACACACGCTTTCTCAAGTGATTACCCGTTACTTAAAATATGTAGTCTCTAACAGTTTCGCGATTAATCGCGATAAATTAATTTCAAATTAGTTAATTTTCTTTTTATCTATTGACAGAGCGAAATGTATATATTTTAAATGGCTAGTTAAGCAGCTGGTCACAGTGGTGTTTAGCAAATATCCCTTAAAAAAGTAGAATTTGTGCATTTGATGAGGACTATTTCCAACTTTGAAATAAAAAAATGTTGAAGCTTTTGTCACTTTATAGTATTTTAATAAGTAACATCTCCAAGCTGTCTCTTCAGAAAACTCCCATGCCTGCAACTCCATTGATGAACTGAAAAGCCAATAGGGAAATAGATTTTTTATTGAGGGATACTTTTAATTAACCTCCCATTATATACCTCATGCTCTCCATTTTGCATTGATACGTTAAGACATCCCTTGTTTCCAAGCAGCTCGAGTTCCTCTGCAAATCTCCTTATTTACATGTCATCAGTGAGACGGGGGCCGGTGCCTGGAGGGTAATGTCAACTTTTCTGTTCACTTATTGACAGTTTGCCTTCCCAGAGAGTGAATTATTTTCTAAAGAAGCTTTTTCTGGTCTCGACCTGTAACATTTAGCTTGTCAGCCCCATTAGACAATGACCTTCCTGCTAACGCCGACTGCGTCAACCGAGACTGACATACAGAGAGAGAGAGAGAGAGAGAGTATAAATCGAATGATTAAACTCCTCTATAATCTTTCTTTGGGATGTGAGGAAAGTCGGTCAATAACTGATATATGTTTGAAATATATAGAAATCTTTGACTTTCTATACGTAATGTTTAGTGGACAACTTCCTTTACCTTAAGTTATTTAGCTTATATTTATTTTCTAAAGAACCATGCAACGAATGTGTGAATGGACGCCAAACATAGCTTCTCCTCCACACAACAATCCAATGTCCTAACCTCAGAATCTGAATCAAGTTCTATCTTCAACAGGCCGTGAGGATTCAGTTATATGCTTTCTATCATCAGAGGTTGCCACAGACTCTGTCTGTGGTAAATACAAGTGCTAAACAATCCCACCCTCGGAGCTCGTACTCTGCTTTAATGTTCTTTTCCTTGTGAACAAGTATTCAAAGTATAATTATTTTTCACGAAGTCCCAATTGGAATCTGCAAAAAGATTTTTATCACAGGACCTGCTCAGATTGTTTAAAGAACAGATGTGGCATTCTGACACTGTGGTTTCTGACTTGTGCTTGAATTTCAAAATGGACATTTTTTATACAATTTGTCAGAGCCCAAGTTGCTCCTGAGTCAGACCAAATCGCCTTTGTGAAATCATAATTGGTGGTGTTGAAGAAGCAGAGTTTAAATAGTGGACGAGTTAAGCTATAGGACATGACTAATTTTATGAGGCCCTTGCTCCTGTTTAAAAATAAACTTTACAGTGCCTGATAGCACTCAATAACCCTCCTTCATTTCTGAAGTGTGGGGATTTAATGATATAATTTAGTACTGAATCCAGGATCCAAGTATTCATCTTAACTGTGCACATTACACATACTAGTTGTCTATATAGCTTATTGACCTTTCACACATGCCACAGTTGATTAGAGGGACATTTCATCTACAACAAGCCCAGGATCAAGTGTTTTTAGAGCTTGATCCATAGGAGCGACCGACAGTCAGAATACCTCATCCTTTGCTGCTTAGAAATGTAGTATTAAGATGTCTATAGTACTTAGGGTTAATATCAGGGCTTCATCTTTGCAGTTTAGGTTAAGCCCACTCAATAAAGTTATCTGAGCCACTGACCAGCAATGTTTTCACAGCTCAAATTTAAATCCGTCTCTTTCCGTGATGAAACTCACATCAGAGGCTCACAGATGCTGGCTGAACAGATTGGTCAACAGACAACTGAATAAAAGTTCCAGACAGACCGTTTCTGTTTGTATCCGCTCAGCTTCATCCTTCTGACCCTTTGGCTGTCAAATACAGGCTTTCTTAACCTACCGGGTTGTAAATAACGGTAAGGAAGGGGCTAGAGGGCGTTTCCCGCAGTTCTCGGTAGTCCCCTCTACACATGGACTGAAGGACTGGAACCAGTCGCCATGTTGTAACGCTGACTAAGACCTTGCTGATCCCCTGCAGGCCAGAGGTTCATAGGCTTTCACCTATTTATCCATCTACTCTTTGATTCAGATCCTCCAGCTCCATCAGAGGCAAAATCAATCTGGACCTCATCAATTTGCATTCATGAATTAAAGAAATGTACATAGCTGATTTAATTACTGAGGAAGTTCCTTATAAACGCTGTCGTACCATCGCGGTTTTTTACAATCCATAAAAAACAAACTGGATCATTCAGTAAAACGTTTGTTCGACGTTGTAAATATATCTGTATGTTGTTCATTGAAGCAGCAATGAGCGTGTATCTGGTGGAGTGCTACATTTCTGATATATGCATTTTAAAAAATAACTATTGTCCAAATCTACCAACCTTCTGTTGTGTATTTCATAATACTGACATCCTAAATAGTTCCAACTGGGAAAATAATGTTCCTGTAAAGAGATGCAGACACGGGGCGGAATAGATTTCCTGAGCATCAGCCTCAACACTCGTCCCATATGACAAAATCATTTTTTCCTTCTGCATGAGTCAAATTAAAAATGCTAATTATGGCTGAATAGGGAGTTCAAAAATGTATTTCGTGTTTCTGAAATTTGTTCAAATAAAAAACAAGTTATTTTTTTGACCAATTATAAAAGTGAAGCTTGCATTACAAATAAAACTCGCTTTTTTCTCAGACACATCAACCTAATGTAATACTCAGTAATGAAATATACCGTTTAATGTCAATTGTGTGACTTATAAACAAATGACGCACGCGCCCACACACACACGCACACATGATTGCGCGCGCACACACACACACACGGGTGGTGATGTCTGGAAACGTTAACTTTCCAAACAGCAACAAGTGGCCGATGGTTGGCAGCGCTGCGTTGTAGCAGAGCCGCTCTGTGCCAACTATTTGGACTGCGCGCGTCACTCACAACGGCAACTATGCCCGGAGAACAGAAAGGGGGGAGAAGGAGTCTCCAACAGGTCAGGGGCGGGTGGGGGGGGGGGGGATAATGCAACACCGATCCAACAAGCAGAAAGGAAAAAGAACAAGTAGCTCACCAAATCTCAAGACGTGTGGCATCCCATGAGAATCCCCCAGTAGGTGCAAGAGCAGCAGCAGCAGCCGGACGGTACTCCGAATTCTCGGGAGGGGGGTCATCTTCATGGTGCTGGTTCTTCCCTCAATCCGTATATTCCACACAATAGTTGTGTCTCTAGCGTGAAGCGGGGCGGCTGGGCACCACCGGCGGGCTGGGCGACGGTTTCCCCGCCTCCATTTAGCGAAAGAAAGCACTGCGCGTCCAGCTCACTGCGCCTCCGACTCAGCAGACGAAGACGGAGGTGGTGGTGGAGGTGGAGGTGGCTGGGCATCCATGTTAGGCGGGGTGGAGCCCGAGAAGATCCATCTACTGAAAGACACAAGCAGAGATTGAAGGAGGGGGTGAGAGGGTGTGTCGGGGGGGGGTTCAAGGCTCTCAGCCGGAGCTCCTCCTGCTGCACCGCCGCGCGGAGTCTGACGTCGAGCCGACACTAGCGGGGGAGCGCGCGGCGTGGACCGCGCATGTTCCTCGGCTTCTGCTGACCACACTTCGCCACTTGATCTGTATTGCCTGGCGAAATGTTCATGCCCCCCCCCCCCCGATCCTCCCCGGCCGGCAGGAGCCGCCGCTCTCCCAGATCTCGACGGCCGTCACGGCTTCCGCGGCGCCTCCGGGCGCGAATGTGACCAGCGCGCCCGTGTCTGAGGGGGGTCGCTCGGGCTTGGACTCCAGCGCGGGCTCCGTGAAGCGAAGCTGTCGCGTTACACTCCGCGGGGGGGTCATGGTGCTCTTAGGAGGAATTCTTCATTGCGTTTTGTTGGGTACATTTGATTTCATTTAAGAAGCGCTGCTTTGGATCACTAAATTACTGCGTGATGTTCAGTGTGTTCCTAGAAGTTGGAAGTGTTATTTACAAATACATGCCACTAAATATCTACTGAATATCTGTTAGATGAAGAAGAGAAATTACTGTTAAGTTGTCAGTTGAATTCTAGCTGGTAAATTACACACACACACACACACACACACACACACACACACACACACACACACACACACACACACACACGCACACTTTTACATATAGAGATAGCTTCTCCATGTCAGCAATTTGAATTAACAGCCTTTTCAGCAAAATATGACCATATGTGATGTGGTCGGTTGTGTGGTTGCTATCGAAGGCTCGTAAAGGCGTCCTTGCATTGAGGGTGCAGACTGTTTACCGTGCGTGTTGGCACGGAGCAGGTCCCGCTCCTCCTCATCGTGCCAGCTCCCTGCTCCTCTGCCTCCTTAAGGAGCAGCGGGTCATTCTGTTTGGACCGAGTCCATACCGGGACACCGTTTAGGCCTACAGCTTAGATATCCTTTCTACATAAATATGAATAAATATCGCCCGCTTTCACGACAACTCCCATTTAATCATCACTAATGTGGGTGCCCAATCATTTTGGAAAACCAAAATTAACTATTGTCTACATTTTAGAAACGGGCTGGATGTGACTTTTAAATTCATAAAACGCCCAAATTATTATTAAGTGATTGGGACATAATTTGAAGTGTGATACAATCCAACCATCGCACAGTATGAAGCGGGACTTATAGATTTCTCTATTTTTTTTTTTTAATTTTGATCATTTAAATGTGGTGTGTATATATATTATATATATGAGAGATATATCAATAAATATCTATGAATGACTCAAATGTGACTGACTAATGAACCCGTGTGAGATCGGCTTACCTGTCCGCGTGCAATGAGTTAACCTGCGCAATGTTTTAAGGCACAGAGGTGACAATAAGGAAGAGAAGCTGCACACAGCCGCAGTCCCGGCGGCCGAAAAGGTGCAGGGTTTGCGGGTAAAGAAAACGCTCCTCCGGGCTCCTCTCTTCTATACTTCCTAACAGATGGAGACACGGCTCTTCAAAACCCGGTGAGCACGTGCGGACCTTTAACGCGGGCTGAGCGGAGCCTTCACTGCGAGATGATAAAGTTCATTTAAATGTCCTCGTCAACTACGGGATTTAAATGCGCGTCTCGTCTCCGCGAGTTCACATCCAGCGAAGGCGGAGAGGAAGGTGGAGGAAACCGAAAAAGGTGACTCGCGTCTCCAAATAGAGGTCGAGCAAAGACACGGGAGGTCACATGTCCCCGAGGCTCTGTTGCTGACACATTTAGCCGCAGTGCCGTTTCGGGCTCCAGGTGCACAGCTCCGAAGCGGATTTGCCCTCATAAACTCACGGATGAACTTCAAACCTGACCGGCGCGCTGCGTAACGGGGCTCCCGGCGCGTTCTGCAGATTGGACAATACGTTTCTCCCGAAACTCCTGAAAGCACGTACCGTGCAACAAAAAGATGAGAACAGACATGTAAATGTAGGTAAAGTTGAATAGAGCGGGCTTACCCTGGGTAGAGCCGGAGCAGCGAACAGTCACCGGAGCTGCGCAAAGAAGTTGCTGCTTTCTACGGAGGATGTGGCTGCGCTGCGCTCCGGCCGTAGGGGAGACACGCCTCCTGTCGGACGGCAGGACGCACTGCTTAAAGCAACAGGGGGGCACACGCGAGACCAGGGGACTCACCCACGTCGAATGGGCATTTTCTTTTACGGGTACGTGGATGGGTGGCAGGTCGGTCTGAGGCGCGTTGTCATCCCCTTCCCGCTCCACAGGTGAGCCGTGGAACCGCCGTCGACCTTCGCACTCCGAGCGAGCAACACAGACAGCGGAGATGCAGCCCTGCGGGTGTGTGGCACTGTTCATTATAGCGACTGATGTGTGGGGAATGAAATATATCCAACAATGTGGTGCATTTATTTAAATAGTAAAAACGTCCTATCAAATATTAATATGTTCGGAACGGATTTTATTTAACACATATATCGCGTCGAGTAGGTGTTTGTGCAGGTTAAAGCGCTGCCACTTGAGGTTTGAATGATATTTAAATATACATCACTGTGTTTGGGCTTTCGGGGATAAACCTGGAGCTTGGTGGACCCAGATATTTTGTTTCCTTATTCAGAATGACTTACTGCACATGGGATGCCGTTTCATTTGCATTTGTAATAGTTGATGGAAAAATTGCATAAAAATATTTGATCAAAGTAAAAAAGTAAATGTTTTGTCAAAAGAGCAAAAGAAAATGTATAAAAATGCAGAAAAAGGTTTGAATGCGAGCAGCTCCCACTGCTTGGGGTTTGGTAGTAAGCTAACCTTACACATTCATTTTTTTATAATCTAAAATGAAGGGCCTCTGCAATCAGGTGTGATGTCACCAAAATTATATTATTATTATCTTTTAATACAAAAAAACTAAATGCAAGGGTGTTTTTAGAAATGATAGCCATCTGCATAAATCCAGGCTCCATCATTGTCACATCTTAAATGGACAACATTTGTAGGTAGCAGCAAATTAGGCTGAGTGGAGGATCAATGTTCCCGATGAAAACTGCCTTGCAATAACGATCTTTATCAACAATATGCTCAGTCAGTCAACTTCCCCCGGAGGCAGAATGACTGTACGCAGAACGCAGATAGCTTTACATTCGTGAAGACAGAAATTCAATCCAGGTTCATGCAGTGAATTATATGCCACTTGCTTAATATTTATTTCTTGTCAAAAGGGAAAAAAATGAAACAGTCATGCTTCGAACAGTTCTGCAAACAGTGAGCAGAAGCCAAATGAAATTAAATGAACGGACAGTATCCCGTTGCTGAGGTTTAGGTTGATTGAAAATATTTCTACCACATAGTTTTTGCCGTTTGAACATTACGGAAGATAACATTTTTATCACGGTTGCAGGGCAGACTCGATCTTGAACGTATTCAAATATGAATACATTGCTGGGTGTCATTGTGTACAGTTTGTGCTAAAATAAATCATCCTTTATCCTTTTATCCCACCGAAAAATTTTCACCAGAAGACATGTTTTATCTGCTGCTTCATGTTAGTTTTTTTCGTTGCAACTTCGTATGCTCCCAGTTTGGCCTTTGAAAATAGGTTCCCAACCTGTAACTGGATGTAGAGCAATTTAAATCTTACATAAAAATAAATACAAATGGATTAACGATACAATTCAATAAAGAATAGATGTGCAAAAGATAATCTAATATCAATCATGGATTCATCTCTGCCTTTTCCGAGGAAAAACTTCAATCATTTCAGAAGCATATGACTTATTTGATCAAATAAAGTCTAATATCAATATGCATGAATTAGTTTAACCATATCATAAATTCCTTTCTTTAATGACATGTCACCAATGTTTTCCCTCAAGCTAATGAAGACTGCCTGCGGTGGGAGTAGCGTATCTCCCTCTCAATTTGTGTTTAGAGAAACAGGTGACAATATCTTGACTTCACGTGAGATAATGTCTTTCAGCTCTGAAAAATCTCGACACATCTAGATTTGCAACTGAAATGATCTCCCTTCACTTCACATTCACTACCGGAATAATTGGCTTGTTTAGACAGAGAGCATGTATTTTGTGCTGTTCACTGCTGAAGATGAAGACAATCAAGAGGCTGGGTCAAAAAGGAGGAGAACAAAGCGGGGCCATCAGTCAGAGGTAACTGCAACAAGATATACTATTTAGTGGTGAAGGGCACATCCCTGCAGAAATGGGAGGCTGATCTAAGGTCACAGTCTGCAGCTCAAATGAAAGGGAGCTTTGATCGTGCCCACCCTTTCCCCCCGGCCCCACGCTCAGTGTGCATCATGAAAAGTTGAATTGTGGGGGGCACAAATAAATAGTCAATGACAGCTCTGTGATTCAACAGCCTCCACTATTCTCAGCCATGGGCCACACAAGGAGCTGAAATCCCTGTGCCCATAAGATGAGACATGTCAGAAGGGACTTTTCCTTTCTGATTTGGGGTGACCTAAATTTGAATTGACCATGTTTTTGAGAGCAATCATAACTGATGAAATAAAAAAATAAGTTGATTTTGATTCATTTCAATATACAGTTTAACACAAAGAGAATTTAAATTCTTGATTTGTGATTTAGTGCCAATTTTGGCAACATGATGAAAAGTGTTTGAGATTAATAATTAAGAAAAAAAGATATGTAGATGCCAGGACAATAAAACAACAATCGACGACAGGCGACAGAGTCAGGGTAAAAGGGTTCTTTCTGGTTTTTATTATTAAACAAAAAGATGGCTCCCAATAGGAGGGAGGGAGATGGTGGAAGATGGGACCTACAGGTTGTGCTAAACAAATGAAATGAATAGAACAAAACGAGGCCTAGCTCACCACTGGCTCTTCATCCAAAACAAGTCAAACAAAATACCTTACCTGCTTCTCTAAAAAAGGACTAAAGGAAAACGTTACACAGGAGGCAACAACCACTACACCTGGTGTATCTATACAAAGGTATACCTACGTGCAAAAATGTACAGGGTACCCCAACTTACTAAGGTCCTCAACCTCCACCTTACAAAACTCCAGTTTTGCTAGCAGACAGCCAAAGCTCACGGACTGGAAGACTGGCCACCAGCCCGCAGCGCAGAACACACCCCCCTTTTCACTTCTCAGGAGTCTTCCTTTATGGACTGCCACCGGAACTGCTGATTGCTTTCCACCTGTGTTTGGAGTTGGCCAATCAGCATAATCACTGGGGGAGAGAAACACATGCAGACCGTCCCCGTCTGGCATGTAACAGACGGATTTTCATTTTGTAATAAAAATCAGCACGTGAAAGATTAAAGTCATAAATGAACACCAGTGTCTTTACCGGTCTGTCTTTGACCATAGACCAGCCTTTTCCTGCATTGTGACTGGATCGGGATATCACTGCAGTTAACCTACATGTATGCAGAACTAAATCTCTAACCTGATCTTAACCCCATCAAACTCTTGAGTCATCATATAACAATTGCACGTAAAAAAAACACCACGAGATGCAGGGAACTGAGCATTGGATGAAGAACCATCTGTATCTGTTTATATTAATTCTATGCCATCCTTTAATGCACACAGGCAGAAAGTAGTAAAGTTTAACATATATCATTTCGTTTTTACATAAACAAGCTAAGCTCAGCGTGTGACAGAGGTACCGCAGGTGCTTCCTTCCAGCTGCTTTCAGGTTGTGCCACAAGCTCTGCCACAAGGAGCACAAAACACGTGCTGTCAAGAAGCGGGGAAGGCAGGACCCAGACACAGTTTGGGGAAGCAAAAAGACTTCAATGGTCAAAAATTCAAAATCAAAAATGCAAAGGGGCAAAAACGCAGGCGGGACCAGGGACAAGACACCACAGGAACCTCGGACATGCAAACACTACATCCGACATTCAATAATGACGCAACAAGGCACAAGAGACACACAGGGCTTAAATACACTAGGGAGGTGCAGGTGATTGGACACTGGTGGAAACAATCATGACAGGACAAGGCAGGAAGTGAAGTTAACCCAGGAGCATCAGAGGCATAAAACTACCAAATAAAACATGTAAACCCAAACCGTGACAGAACCCCTCCCTCAAGGGCCAAATTCCAGATGGCCCTAAAGAGCGGGCGGAACCAGCAGAGAGCAGACAAGGGGCGGGAGGGAGGGGACCAGGAGACAAGGGTCAGCCTGGCGGTCGGTCAGGAGTCTGGCTCGGGTCACCGGCTGCAGGACACGGGCGCCGGCCTCGGGGGTGCCGGCCCCACCCGTCAGAACCCCTCCCAAGGGCCGGATCCCAGACGGCCCTCAGTACACCAAAGGGAGGGTGGGAGCCTTAGTGGTGGGAGAGGACCACGGGATGGGAGGGAGGGGGCCTTAGTCGTGGAGCCGGTACCGGAGTCGGGGGAACGTGTGTCGTGGAGCCGGTACCGGAGTCGGGGAGGTGGATCGGAAGGTTGCTGCGGCCCAGCGCGGAAGGCAGTGCATTGTGGTTGTGCGGAAGGTTGTGCGCTGCGGCCCAGTGGGGTCAAGAGGTCGGTGCGGCCCAACGCGGAAGGTGGTACGCTGCAGCCCAGCGGTGTCAAGAGGTCGCTGCAGCCCAGCACGGATGGTGGTGCGCTGCAGCCCAGGGTGGAGGGAGTAGGTGGCCTGGAGTTGGACCGCGAGGTCTATCACCCGCTTCCAGTGTGATCCAGCACTTAGAGACCAGGAGATGGCCTCCACCTTCGGAGGCAACGTGGTGACC